AAATAGAGTCAGAGGTCTCCCTGTGTTGCCCAGGCTGGTCTCAAACTCCTGGGCCCAAGTGATCCACCTACCTAGATCTCCACAAGTGCTGGAATTACAGGTGCGAGCCATTGCACCCAGCTCCTCCCGTGGTTTGCAGACAGAGTTCCAGGGTCAGGGAGGAGACATAGCTGACACCTCTCGCAGGGCCAGCAACCTGAACCTGGGGGACTCTTTCTGATGGCCTCAAGGGGTGAAATGCAGCAAACCTGAGTCCCTGACTTCCCAGGAGGTGCTGGAAGAAGCCACGTGGCCTCTGCTCATTACACCTGTCACGTTTGCTCTGGGAGCCTTTGGCTGCCATGTAAGAAATCTAGGTGAGGTCAAGTGAAGAGACCAGAGAGAGCAAGACCAAAGTGAACAAGGAGAAAAAGAGAGAGAAAGAGACTGGGGGGCGGGGAAGAGAAGGGGAAGTGAGAAGGCAGGGAGAGAGGGAGAGAGAAGAAAGGGAGAGGGAGATGCTGGAGGAGCTGTGTGTTCTCACTCACGCCTTCAAGAGCCACTACCTGTCCATGACCATGTGACCGTGCAGGAGCCTCAGTGGAGAGCCTCTGAGCCAAGCCCAGTCAACCCACAGAGTCATCCGCAATGATAAATATTGTTGGGAGCTGTGGCTTGGGGTTTGTTACTTCACAATAAATCACCTTCTCGTGGGCCTTCTTCCCTTCCTCGTGACATTCTGGCTTCCAGGGGACCACCTCTCCACCCTACCTGTGTCCAAGTCCTTGTCTAAGGTTCTGCATTGAAGAGAACCCAAACCAAGGCAACGACTGACTGGCTGGGGGGTGTTGGGGAAGACAATTCAGTTGGGGTAAGGTAATTAACCTGAGCTTAGGATTCTTCACCTGGAAAATCGGGAGACTATCAACCTAACCTGAGATGCTTCTGAAGCGGATGCGAAAGAATCCAGGTGAGGAAGTCAGCACCTGGCAGTGGGTCCTGTTTGGGGCTCACTGGCTCAGAGGCAAATTCTAACCGTTACCTTACCAGGTGTTATGGCTGCGTAGGTACCCGTCCTACACCCTCCCGATGCTGACCTGCCGAAGGGACAAGGAAAGGGTGCACAGCCGTGCCTTGGCTTGTCTGCTGGTGGCCTTGCAAAACCCCAGCAAGACAGGGAAGCAGCCGAAGGAAAACAGAGCTGGTTCTTATAGTATAGTGATTGCATTTTTTCTGATAAAGATAGCACACCTTTTGTCATAAGCTGTTTTCCTTGGTTTCTGTGTTTCTTTTCTAATCAAATTACCCCAGTTGACACACATTTAAGCAAATAGTTTCATTTCAGGTCACGGGGACTTAGCGCTGCAATCAAGGATCTGAATGAAATTCCTGGCAAAATACAGTAATTAGACACACAATGAAAGCAGAATTGAAATGTCCCAGCCTCCCCACAACACTAAAAGGAAGTCTGGTTAATTTCCAAATTATATTTAGGATCAACATGCAAGGGGTTCTTTTTCATACGGGCAGAGAAATTAGGACCAGAGATCATTACAATAACCACACAAGACTAGGAATGTAATTATAAAATAAACCATACCCTAGCAAGCAAATTATTTTAATGTGTTTCAAGAATTGAATACTCTGTATGGAATTAAAAACAGAGAAAAAAGCAACGTGCAGAAAATTAATTAAAAAGAGTTAAGACACAGAAACTTCGAATGTCATAAAATTACAAATACAAAAGCAACAAATTAAAAAACATACACAATTGCAGATTTCAGTAACATCAGTAGCCAGAACATACCCAATGAATCACTTAATCATCAAATATCTTGCTGATTTTGAAAGGGGGCTAGTGGTTGATGACTTAACCTCAATCAATCCAAAGGACAGGACTCTTTCCTTACATTACAAGCAATCTGTAAAGATGGCTTTAAGTAACTGAGAAAAGGTGGAGCGTCTTTTCTCAAAGGAAATAGACAAGGAAGGCGTTATCCGCTCTGCCCTCCCCCCAACTACCGAAATGTGTACATTCATTCAACTCTGGTAACTTAGGCAACCAAAGGACAATTTCTTTTCTTTTCTTTTTTTGAGACAGAGTCTTACTCTGTCACCCAGGCTGGAGTACAGTGGTGCAATCTCGGCTCACTGTAACCTCTGCCTCCTGGGTTCAAGTGATTCTCCTGCCTCAGCCTCCCGAAGAGCTGAGATTACAGGCGACCACGACTGTCTAATTTTTGTATTTTAGGAGAGACGGGGTTTCACCATGTTGGTCAGGATGGTCTCGAACTCTTGGCCTCAGGTGATCCGCCCCCCTTGGCCTCCCAAAGTGCTGGGATTACAGGTGTGAGCCACCGCGCCCAGCCCCAAAGGACAATTTCTTGAGACCCCCACACACCTTCAGAACCACACATTCTATTCATGTTAAAAACAACAAGAAATTAACAACCTCTAAAGCTAAGGACAATGATTCTGTAAAGTGCAAGAATGGTTCATTGTTTCTGCTTTTGTGGATTTCATGTTAAGAATACTTTAAAAGAAAGGGTGGACGGGAGTAAACCAGGACCCCAGTCATATATTTGATCAAGAAATGACCCGTATGGCAAAGGTGAGACGTGGACCGGCCCTCAGGTGTCTCTCCAACTCTGTGCACACCACTGAGGTAGGAGCTCTGGAAGAAATGCAGACCCTCTCAAGGGAGTTAAGGTTTCCTCTTGGCAAATCAGCTGGGGGCCTGAGACAGTCATACCCATGGGCTGCGTGCAACTTTGCATGCAGCTTCACGAAATTCTAGAGCTGCATCGCATCAGCGACGGAGAAGGGCAAGATCCAAGACAAAGCCACACGAGGCGAGGTCCTGGTGCTGACCACTGGCCATCTGTTGTCCAGCACAAATCAAGGGGCCGGAGGAAGGGGATGAGGTGGAAAACCCCTGTCAGGCATTCTATAAAACAGTTATTAGCAAATTGTATCAAAAAGTATCAAAACATTTCAAAAAACTCTAAAAATTGCCAGGCTTGGCAAATGCGCAGGACAGGGTCTCCAAGTGCCCGTGGCGCTGCCCTATATTCCAGGCATTTATCCTGGAGGCCAGGATGCCACCCTTCCCACTCCCCTCCCCTCCCAGGCACTCAGAATCCATAGAGACACCAGGGGGTCCAAACCTTATCTGCAGCTGCCCCGCCAGGTTTGGGACAAGTGGACAGGGTTCCAACCACGAGCTCTGAGAGCCGCAAGGCCCATGAGATGCTGCTGCACCATGGAGGACCAGGGTGAGGGATGAAGGTCGGTGCTCTACAGCGGATGTTGGGGGGTATGGCAGGGGTCCCCTCACTTCCCACATTGCTGCAAGTCACAGAACGATCACTTGGCTTAGGGGTCGAGGTACACTGAACCACAGGTGAACACACCTGAGCTCACGAAGTAGGACCCTGGACCTCAGAGGATGGACCCCACTTCCCCTCAGCATTTGGGTGCCCATCTCAAAGCTGAATATCCCGTAGGTATAAATACACACGTGGTTCTGCTCAGAGCAAGGTCTGAAGTCCCACTTGATAGCCTCAATAAAATGGTAGAACAATGAAAATACCAATTGCGTGCTAAGTACAGTCAGTTGATAAAATAGTCTCTGTGCATTTTAAACAGCAGGAAGTTTGCTATAAGCAACAAGGGTTCATCAGCTTTCTACTCCCTCCCTTCTATTATTATAATACAGTTATGTCTTAAGCAAACAGCTTTCCAACTTGGGTGATGACCAAACTCCAAACTTACAACTAACACGAAGTTACAACTCTAATTCTTTAGAAATGAGAAAAGTTCAAACCTCAATAGAAGCCTGCCATGCTTATTTTGAAATATTGAAAAAAAAAAAAAGATCCAGGTGTCTTCAAAATTCAAGCAGAACAGCTTGAAACACTTTAACATGATGACACATATGGCCGTTTCCATCTCAACATGGCAGCCTGCAAGCACCTGTGCCTTTGTCACTAGTTTAAAACCCCACTGTTGTGAGGTTCAAACGGCCACCGCATAGGTACAGCCCAAACTCTGCCCATTTGAGTTAAAAACCATTTTTTTCTTTTGAGACAGGGTCTCACTCTGTCACCCAGGTTAGAGTGCAGTGGTGTGACCATAGCTCACTGCAGCCTCAACCTCCCAGGCTCAGGTGATTCTCCCACCTCAGCCTCCCAAGTAGCTGGGACTACTGCATGCCCCACCATCCCTGGCTAATCTTTTGTAGTTTTTTTGTAGAGATGGGTTTTTGCCATGTTGCCCAGGCGCGGTCTCTTTCATTTTCAGTTAGACTGCACAGAAGGGTGAATTTTCAACTTAAAAAGACAAGTAACAAAAACCTGGCCCAGGTACCGCCACTGGGCACTCTTGTGCCCATCCATTGACCCCAAACAAGCTCAAAAACCTTTCTTGTCACAGTGTAGCCACCATCAAATATTAGAAATTGGCTCACAAGATGAAACTTGTTTATCCTCCCTTCAAAGGAGTGCTCCCAATCTTAGTAACATTAGATTTTAAGCCATGTAAATTACAAAACCACCTTAATAGTATCGGGAGAGACATCACAAAATATTAGGCGCAGGATGTCGTATGTAACTCACGAGGCACAAGAAAATCAGAATAGAGGCCAGTAGCTCACACATTTCCAGAGACAAGTCCCAGAAGCAAAACGTAAAAGAGCTGGCTTAGGCTAAAAACCAATGGCTCTCCTCTCCCCAAGGTCAAAGCTCTCCCACTCCCCAAATCAGAGCCTATGTGCTCTCCCCAACCTGCCCCAAGATTCAGGCCAAACTGCCCATTTGTTCATGACCCAGGCTGAGCTGGGGAAAACAGCCCACGTACACCACATGCTAGCTTCTGAGGGGTCTACAAGCAATAAAACCTTTCCCAGAATAGGAAGGGGGTAAGCTATCCCAAAGTTGGCAGAAGTTCTGCAAAACATGTTTTGTGGGGGTCTGGGACCAGGTAGGAGAGAAAAGAGTTTTAGGCTCAAAGAAGTTTGGAAATGCTGGGTTGAGACTTCTCAGAGCCTTTCACACACCGGAATGCTGCAGAGCTCCAAGAACTGTCCAGCCTGTTGGTCTGTTTGTTTGCATGCCTTGCAGAACCTCTCAACAGTCTGTAAGCCTCCGGGGACTTCACATGCAAATAACTAGCTAGCTAAATATGCAGACTACCCTCCTCACCAACCACGGAGGGCAGGAACCAGTTCCTTGGCAGGAACTTGAAGCTTTCAGTCCCCAAAATGCTCTCCTCTCTCCTGGAAGGCTACAGAAACAGACCAGTGAGAACCACAGTAAACCCTGAAGGGAAGAGAAAGGAGGTGCAGCAAAGCAGCAGCAGAAATGAAAATAAAAGTTAACTAAGGTTTGTTTTCCTAGTCTAATATCAATCTTAACACACTGATCCTCACCCACTCGAGCAGCCGAGAGCCCTCTTAAAGGGCAAGCGACGTCAAGACCTGCTCTCGGAACTGTCTGCAGGAAGACTGGCGTTAGACTAGGGTTTGCGATTAAGCACATCGTGAAGTTTACTGATCTCTGCCGTCAGATCTTGGGTGAAGTACAGCTCATTCATGCCTTCCTTGGCTCATGCTTAAAGCCCATCACACTCCTATCCTCCCATAGTTCTGCGCATTTCTCATCCGGGCAGCTAGGAGCCCTCTTAAAGGGCAAGTGACCCTGATACCTGCTCTAGGAACTGTTGGCAGGAGTCAGTGCAGGCCAGCTCCGCATCCTGAAGGGGATGCCATCCAGGTATGAACAGCTCAGAGGCTGAATGGCCCTATCACCCGGGAGGAGCCTGGAGGGTATTCCATCTAACCCTGTGGCTAAAGCCGGGGGGAGGGGGGATGAGGGAACACATGGATTTGTTCGAGAATTTTCCCAGCAGCACAAAACTCCTTAGAAGCAGAAAACTGGGGCAGGACCTGGCATGGGAGTCAGGGAGACCTCCACTGCCTTCTCAGGGATCCACACGTTGTCCTCTGAGCAGGAGCTTTCAACAGCTCCTCAAGATAGAGTCATAGAGAACAACGGCAAATTCCATAGCACTCGCTTTTTCTTTCCTGATAAATAAACAGATTTGGGAGCTGAGTACATCAGCAATATAAAAGACAGTGGGTTCAGAAAAGAAAAGGAAAAAAAATGCACAAATTACAGAAAAATATTCATAACGAGCTTCACACCTTTTTTCGTTTTTGGTTACCTGTAATGTTTTACAATTCAAGAAGGTTTCCAATGAGGAAAGATGGAATTATTCAGAAACAACGTTCACCGGATACGGAGAACAGCTCGCCAGTAGGAAGTCATCACGTCTCACCTGACAGTCCAGCGAGCTGCGTGGCCCCTGGTCACTCACTCATTCACCCTCGTGGGGGTCTCTGTGCAGTCATTTATAAAACAAACACATTCGACCTTGCCAGTCATTCCCAGATGTGGCTGAAGCCCAGAATTCCAAGAACCAGTTAAAATACAGTTTCTGGGCACCACCTCATCCCCGTTCCTGGTGGTTTTGGATTCCATAATTCTGAGCGGGGCTCAGGAATCTGTATTCTTAAAAGCTCAGCCAGGTTTGGGGAGGCTTGGACTAGGTGATCTAAGAGATCCCTTTGAGGCCCCAAGCTTCACTACAGAAATTTCTGTGTAACCCCCATGCCAGCTACTCTCAGGGAGACGGTTAGCAAGGACCCATGAGGAATTGTAACATGGGGCAAAGAACTGCAAAGATACAAGGGGTTGCTCACTGCCTGGGTTAGTTATTCGAGCAAGATATGTAAAGTTACAGAGAGTATTTAATTGGTTACTGTGATATCATAGAAATACCAAGAATCATAAAAGTAAAAAAAGCTGCTAAGTTGTACATAATGTTTCCGGAATACTAAGAAGTTGCTGCTGGTCTACAGAGCCCTGGGATATGATGGTGAGGATGGTCCCAGGAGGCGCAGCTGGGGTCACTGGCCCCGGTCCTGGTGCCTCTTGCCTTTGCCTTTCTTCTTTTTGTCCTCTGGCCTCGGCTCCAGGGCGCAGACACAGGCGGACCCGCCAGCGATGGCCTTGGGCAGGTCGACGCCCCTGCTCCACTTGTCGGCCTCTCGGTCGTACACCTGCACGGTCTTGGAGAAGGCGGTGTTCTCCCAGCTGTAGCCGCCCAGGATGTAGATGCGGCCCTCCCACACCGCCACGCCCGACTCGCTGTTGGCGTGCAGCAGCGGCGCCACGCGGGTCCACTGGTTGCACTGCGGGCTGTAGGCCTCCACGCCCAGCACATCGAAGCGCTCCATGGACTCAATGTTGTCGTCGCTGCCCCCGATGGAGTAGATGCTGTCGCCCAGGCTGCACATGCTGTGCCAGCCGCGCGCCGTGGTCATGGGCCGCCGCTCCTCCCACACGTCTGTCCGGTGGTCGTAGCACAGCAGGTTCTTGCGGTAGGGGCCGATTTGGTAGTCGTGGCCCCCAGAGATGTACACGAAGTCTTTGTAGATGGTGCCCGCGTGGCCGTACGTGAACCTGCAGGGTCGACGGGCGGAGACAGAGAGAGAGCTCAGGGCTGTGCCAGGCTTACCCTCCCCGAGCCAGGGAACAGCCTGCCGTCTTAGGGAGCCATGAGGATTTAAGAACACAGGCAGTGGGCACCCCACGAACACTGTATAGACAGCAGACGTCATTAGCAAAGAAATGGCGGGCAGGGCGGGGAAGCGGACAGCTTTGCAGTCAGGTCGCCTGGGCCAGAACCCAGCTCCACTCTCTCTGAATCTCCCTTGCCCCATCTGGGAAATGGGAATAATCACAGGACCATCACCCCTTTCACAATGGCTGGAAATGACTAGAGCAATGAGCCAGCAGGCACACACGCACCCAATGAATCGCACATCAAAGAGGAATAATGACATACAGTCCAATTCTAACTGCGCTGGCACTCAGGAAAAGTTTTGCTTAAAACCGTAGAGACAGCAAAATCAGTGGCTGCCAGAGGCTGTGGGGAGAGGGGAGGGAGGGATGGACAGGGCGCGCACAGAGGGGGGTTTACGGCAGTGAAATGATTCTGTGTGAGGCTGTAATGGTGGATTCATGTTGCTTTGTGTTCCTCAAAATCCACAGAACTGTGCCAGGAAGTGGGAACCCTGATGTAAACCAGGGCCTTTAGTGAATAAGAAAGGATCAATATGGCCAGGTGCAGTGGCTCACGCCTGCAATCCCAGCGCTTTGTGAGGCCTAGGCAGGTGGATCACTTGAGGCCAGAAGTTCGAGACCAGCCTGGCGAACATGGCGAAATCCTGTCTCTGCTAAAAACACAAAAATTAGCTCAGCGTGGGGGCGGGCGCCTGCAGTCCTAGCTACTCAGGAGGCTGAGGCAGGAGAATTGCTTGAGCTCAGGAGGCGGAGATTGCAGTGAGTCGAGACTGTGCCACTGCACTCCAGTCTGGGCGACAGAGAGAGACTCCATCTTAGAAAAACAAAAACGCGAGCGCTTATCCCGCACACTTCTAACTCTTGGGGACACCTGGATGTATTCCACAGCAAAGACTGGTTCAGAAAGTGCACTGCTGGGGGTGGCAACAGGGAACTGGTGGAAAAAATGGTGTGCACCTGCTGCTAATCCCATGGAGATAATAAACGCTCGATACATGCACACCGGAAGGCAGGTGAGACTGAGGAGGGTGAGGCGGCCACCCTGGGGCACTCCCTGCACGTGGGCGTAGGTTTTCCAAGCAGCACCGCATCGGCTCTGCAAACAGTGCTGTGGGGTGGGTACGATTATCGTCTCCCTCTACAGATGAGGAACTAAAGGCTGAGCGGGGTGAAGACCCGTGCTTGCGGCTTAGATCTAGCAGATACCCCCATCTCTTCGAGCTCCTCTTGCCCAAGCTCAGGGAGATCCTCAGGTCAGGCCCTCACCCTCTGAAACTCAGCGACTGCACAGACTCAGCCACGGAGGGATGTCCGTCGTGGCGGCAGAGCTGACCCTTGCCCTAAGTCTGGAACCGGAGCCCGGACTGTGCTCCACCACGCCCTCTGCCCCTCACGGTGTACCCACTCTTCCTGACAAGCCAGAAGACTTCGCTCCTGGAATTGGAGGCCACATGCCCAGAAAGTGAGGCACGTGGACTGAACTATGTCCCATAAAAACATCCCATTTGGAGAGCCTTCCACCAAACCCCAGATCACCTTGGCAAGCCCGCCACATAGGACCAGGAGTCGGTCTTCGGACTGTACGTCTCTACCGAAGAGAGCGCTCCGTTCTCATTCCGGCCGCCGACGGCCACCAGCATGTCTTCGATGGAAGCAAGGTAGAAATCCACACGGCGCTGGTTCATGGAGGCCACCTGTGGAGGTGAGATACCTGTACCTTCCCTTCCCCGAACCCGGGACAGCATCAACATCTAGCGCTGCGTTTCCCAAATGTGTCTGCGGAACACACAGTCCCGGAGAATGTTTGGGAAAGGGAACTGCACCTGAATAAAGGGGGCTTCTTCAGGCGGGAGCTCTGAGCCCCTGAAGTTTCCCCAAGATGCTCTGAATCCCCAAAAGTGGGATGGAGACGCTCTGAACCCCCACACTTGTCTAGTCATATGGTCAGCCTCGTGGATGGGAACTCTGTGGGTCACGGGTCAGAATTGCTGATCTAGTGGCTTTCTGAAATAAAAATTCATCTTTCCCCTCCCGGCATCAGATCTGTAAAGTTAGTGCTGCTCTGCCACTCTGTGTTAACAGAGCAGGATGTGGCATTCGACAGGAAATTAAACAGAAGAGGCCGGGTGCAGTGGCTCACGCCCGTAATCCCGGCACTTTGGGAGGCCGAGGTGGATGGATCACCTGAGGTCACGGAATTCGAGACCAGCCTGGCCAACAGGGTGAAACCCTGTCTCTACTAAAAATATAAAAATTAGGCAGGCGTGGTGGCGGGCATCTGTAATTCCAGCTACTCGGTAGGTTGAGGCACCAGAATTGTTTGAACCTGGGAGGC